AGTTGTTTTAATGTGCATGAAACATCTTCAATCTATGAAACACACATAAACGAAATTGTTTTAATGTGCATGAAACATCCTCAATCTATGAAACACACATAAACGAAGTTGTTTTAATGTGCATGAAACATCTTCAATCTATGAAACACACATAAACGAAATTGTTTTAATGTGCATGAAACATCCTCAATCTATGAAACACACATAAACGAAGTTGTTTTAATGTGCACGAAACATCTTCAATCTATGAAACACACACAAAAACGAAGTTGTTTTATTGTGCATGAAACATCCTCAATCTATGAAACACACATAAACGAAATTGTTTTAATGTGCATGAAACATCTTCAATCTATGAAACACACAAAAACAAAGTTGTTTTATTGTGCACGAAACATCCTCAATCTATGAAACACACATAAACGAAGTTGTTTTAATGTGCATGAAACATCCTCAATCTATGAAACACACATAAACGAAGTTGTTTTAATGTGCACGAAACATCTTCAATCTATGAAACACACACAAAAACGAAGTTGTTTTATTGTGCATGAAACATCCTCAATCTATCAGGTAATGAAATCTACAACATCTCTTCGTTTTATACATACTTGTGAATTCCACACTTAAGTCAGAAATTATATATATATATATATACATATATAATGTATTTATATCTGTGCACATTTGAAATAATCCAGCAATACATATCGCAATATATAAAGAAGACAATTTACATGTAGATTTCAAGGCAATTAGCACCTTGTAACAGCTATTTGTCTGTTTTGTTTTTGCTTTCATAAACCTAGAAAAACATGCATAACAGAAAACAAACTTTTATCAACAAAGAATGAAGGACATTAATTAATTATACTATGTACTGAAAATAATCTATACGAGCGTTTATAAACATGTTTTATTGTTACTTTAATTTTTATAACTTAGTGTTGTGAACAAATAAAGGGGTCTTACAAGTCATTTCCTACCACTATATACACTGGCTGGCCACTCCATTGTGAACTATACCCAATAACGTAAAGGGCCACCTTTTGCCCAAATAACCAATGATACCGCGAGGCATAGAATCCAGTTATTAATACTTTACACAATTCATTGAACGACGTAGACAGAGGACAGTGACGGCGACTGTGTCTTACAGTTCATCCCACAGATGCTCGAGTGAATTGAGAACCGGGGATTGTTGCTGAAGTCTCCGCCATGTTCCTCAAACCATACATGCACAATTTGGGTACAGACGGTGGATGGAAGCATTGTCGTCTTGAAAGTAGCTGAGTTATATGTGAAGCATCGCTAGATGCACTTGATCAGAAATGATGCTGAGGTAAGCTATGGAATTCACCCTGCCGTCTAAAGGTACCAAGGAGTCCAGGGTATGCCAGAAAAACATGCTCCAAACTATGACTCCACCAAAAGAGCCCTGGAAAGTTGAGACTACATAAGAGGGGCGATTTATTCTTGTGGCTTTTTCCACATTTGTCTTCTCCCACCAGTGCACAAAAGGGTAAATATCCATTTATTAGTTACATCACCTATCCCCAGTTCTTATTAGTCCAACGTCTATACCCTTTACGCCAATCAATGCGCTTTTTCTCGTTAGTAGCGGAGTTCTATTGCCATAGTCCACTTGTTGCAATGTTCTAAGCAAGGTACTGTTGGAAATGGAGGTGGACAGCCCTGCATTGAATATCTGTCGGTTGGTTTATCTAACTGCCTTTCTCCTCTTTATGTCATTAAGTGTTTGCGGTCACAATTCCCCTTTTGTAGCAGACATTCTATACAACTTTTTCCATTGCTGATAATGACTGATGACTTAAAGTAGCCTACCACTAAAATTGTCTTGGCCACTAGGACACCTGCTAGATGTGCACCCATTATTATACCTCTTTTGAAGATTGCAATATCTTTGTACTTCCCCATATCTGTAAGACTAACAACACATTTACTTGTCTCAACCACTTATAGTTCTGCATGGATCACCTGACACAAAAAGTGATCAACCGAATTTGCATCTGCAGCTCAGGTCAGGCCAAGTCTGAAAGGGTACGTAGTTCTTAATAAAGTGGCAAGCTAGTGTATAACGGTTTAGTCTCTGCTTTCCTTATTTTTAACAATACAATGTCATCAAATTAGCATGCTCTATAAGAACGTATGTTGAATGTAATAATGGTTTGGAGACGGCTTGAATGGGTAATGAAGAAAA